CTCCTCTCCTCTCCTCCTCTCCTCTCCTGTCTCCTCCTCTCCACTTCTCCTCCTCTCTTGGATAAGCCCAGTGGCTTACAGAGTTTACAGGACTCCATTATGGTTAACATATACACCCATACACACCCTACTTGACTTCCTTTCCATCTTGCAAGTCAGTGTGTCAAACAGCGACCGACACTCATTGTACAACACCAATTATCAAACACTATTCGTTTAATCTGTGTTTCCTTCCAGGGAGTCTGCGGGTCTTGAAAAGTCGTAAAAAGCATTGATTTAGGTTTCTACAAAAAGACCTCAGAACATATTAAAGTCTTAAATTTCATCTACGAAGGTCTTAAATCTTTTTTCCAACCTGTAGTAATGTTCGTTATTAAATACTTTTGTAGGTGATTTTAGCAAAACCTGGCCTGGTCCTGTTTAATGATTAATTAATTATATTAGCGCTGAAACGATTAATTGATCAATTAATCGATTAGTTAACCGACAGAAAATCAATGAGTAATTGTTTCAATAATTTAAAAAAAACGCTATTTAAACTGGACTGTACTATTCTTTTCATCATTCTTGTCATATTCCACAGGCAAATAAATATCCTAAGCAATTAATCAATTATTTAAAGTAGAAATCAGCAGATTAATCGATGATGAAAATAATCATTAGTGCAACCTTAAATGATATAATTAGGAATGAATTTATTTCACTTCTTATCATCCCTGCTGGTTTATATTTTTGTGTGTCATACTTCAGAAGTTATGATTATGAAATAAGTATTAAATTGTGTCCTGAGTGGTTTTAAAATGCCTGAAATGTAACTTTGTGACACCTGCAGAAACCCCGTCGATCTGAAATGTTATTACCATCCGAGTGAGATCAACTTCTCTCACCTCTTTGCCAGATTCTTTCTTTTAACACTCACACCATACGAAGGCTTAACCGGGCACGAAGTAATCCATGACCTCTCGTGACCTCTTTCACTGACTCGTGGAAACGGCTTAGATGTAAGAGTGCTACATGATTAGGATTTATGTAATGGAAGCCGACTTCCTAGAGTGAGTCACCGTAGTGATTCACTTCCACATCTAGGACCTGATGTCAAGTGAGTGTTTTTCGAAGCAGGGTTACAAATAATGTCATGTAGATACGATGCAAATATCATTATGACTGAGCGGAGCTATAAAGGCCTGGCCGCTCTTTGATGCGCGGTCTTCAAAGGAGCATTTGATAGAGGTTTATAAAGGTGATTCATTACGGCCAAATGGCACAGTTTGCAAAGCAGCGGATGTCACCGGTGACAACATGATACTGTGCATATTTCTTAGGCGCTTATATTCTTATGTATCACACAGTATCTTCAGGACGCAGCTCCCAAATTCATTCTGCAGCGTGCATGGAACAACCTACCTTGTAAAACTTACCTACCTAGGAAAATTGGTGCAGGTTGAAATCATCCACAATTTACTTCTTATGCCTTAAACTTATGCACAGTACTCTTACTATGTCTGTTAGGGCATTCAATTACTGCTTAGCCATTATTTATTTAACTTTGTTTATCATCTCCTTATTTAGTAGTTTTTAATTACAGACCTATTGCAGGCTCAAATTGTAAACTTAACCCCAAACCCAAACCCTAAATCTGCAGTATGTTTTATGCAATTTAACAAAAAAAAAGAACAACAACAACAATCAAGCAACATCCAGCCACGCTGATAGTTTGAATCTTATTTGACAAGTGCTCAGTAGAGGTGGCTGGATTTCAGTCTGAAGGTAGAAAAAAAACTGTGTTCTGGACTCTTCTGAAGAGACATGGCAGGTTTTTTAAATGGGCTCAACAAAAGAAACTCCATTAACCTCCATTGTATTGACATGGTGAGAGGGATGTGTCAAAATCTCAGCATCATAAACTTAAACTGACCCTCTTCTCAAATTCTGTTTCACATTCTGACTGAAAAGAAGAATCATGAAAAAATCATTAAAAAAAAAAAAAAGCTGTAATTTCACAAACACCGAGGAGAAAAGCTCAAAAGTGGTTCTCACAAAGAAATGCGCCACAGCACACGTGCATGGACACACATTCACGAACCCACCTCTTGCTGTTGTTAACACTCTTGTTGTGTTTCCTCCCTTTCCTCTCCTTTCCTGCACAGCCCCAGACAAACAGCACCAAAAACAGCATAGTCACCAGCCCCAAAGGAAACATCCCTTCACCTGCTCTGGTATTTACCTCCTAACCCTCCCTCCACCTGTGTGTGTGTGTTTGTGTTTGTGTTTGTGTTTGTGTGTCTGTCCCACCGCCTCTGGACTCTTTAATTTCACCTTACCCCACTCCCATATTTCTTCACCTTTGTCTGGTTTTCCTCTCCGTCTCTTCCGTTGTGGTTGACCTTTGCGCAGCCACGGCGATGGCCACAGCGGTACGGGAAGGTCTTACACCAGCAGGTGTTGTCAGGAAACATTTCCCCTCGGCAGGTGGGGATGCTGTGTGACTTGCTCTCGGGTTGATATTGTGCTGCCGTGTCATTTCCTGTGTCAGTGAAAGTTCGCCAAACAGGAACAGACAGCCGATGCCTGCCGAGTCTGTCAGTGCGATTTTACATCCCCCTCCCCCCCATTTATGCCTCCGTAGAGAAGCGGTTCCCCACCGCATGAGCATCAGAGTCCAAAGGTCGGCAGATTGTCCTTCCAGCCCAACAGCATACCAGCTGATGTCAGAGATGAAATCCTCTTCTTCTGTTGAATCAGTGAAACCAGCTGAATGAAAACCTGTATGCTCATGAGCTCCTGGCACATGGTCACAAACCACCACAGAGAGAGAGTCCAGAGGCGCGAGCAGGGATTTTACTTAGCATCAGGCCTCCAGGGGAGTTTTATTAAGTTTTATTAAGTGCAGCTGCCTTTTATCTGTGTGGACATGATGTATGATGAGCCATTTACATTTATCGGTGTGTAAGTTGGAGACATGGGAACAGATGCATTAGTTTCATTATTTCACGTTATTTGCAGCCACTGTCATTTATGAGTGGTTTCTTGCCAGGAGCAGGTGGTGGTGATAATGGTCACTGGCCAAGAGCTTCAGCCATTGAGAGAGGTTAGAACATGTCCTCTGCTTAGCGCTACGACTTCATCCTCTCAGGGCAGACTGGTTTCTACAGTGACTCACTACCGGGGCTGGGGCTAGCTGGTTAGCGTGCTAACTTTACTTCACTAGAAGAAAAGACGTGATAGAAATAGAAGAAAAACAAGATTAACATTAGTGTTGCTTTCCACTGCTGGAGACTTCTCTTAGTAAGTAAAGGAATGAAGTTTGATGCTGAACTTTGCAACGTTTCTTCTAGACTGGTAAGTGAACAGCTGTTAATGCTAACGCTGGCTATGTAGCAATAGCAAAAAACGTACATATAGACCCTTCAAGATGAGAACAGCACACTTAAATTAAAGGACATAGTAGTAGTTTTGTTTATTTTAGTCTAAAAGCTTGTGTGGTTCTTACACTAATGCTAATGCTGTCCATTTGATATATTTTTAGTTTTTTTAATGGTCCCATGTTGCAGACAGCCACCAGTTCAGTCCATGTCAGGGCTGTAGTCCCTCCTCACAACTGAACCACCACATGAGGATGGGATAAACATGTAGAGGCGCCTGTCCTTGAAGGCAGCACCTATGTTCAATCTGCAAACATCTAAATCATGTACATTAAACCTAAAGTTACTGTAATGGCCCAATTTTCTCTCAATAAAGTCCTAAACCATCGGTGTGTAGGGTTCACCGCCGTCCTCGTTAGTAAGTAACAGTAAAGATAAACATCCTCGCCCTGTTTTTCGCGACACAAATGATGGTGTGGCACGAACGCTCTGCTAATCATTCAGGGTGAAGAGCTACAGGAGGTGACAGTCTCATAGCATGTGCTCTTCTCTTTCTTGCCAAACTGCCTCTCTGAGCTACTCCAGGCTGCTCTCTCTCTCATTTAAATAATTCAATTTAGATGAACATTTCAATGCAGTTAGTTGGCCTTAGTTCTCTGATTCCATTATGGTTCCTTTAAAAAGTCAGAAAAAATGTGTAAGGTTGCAAAATGTAATTGAAAGGTTTATTCATTTTGAATTTGGGTCATTTGTTGAAGCCATTTTTGTAAACATTTTAAAGCTGATAACTAAAAGGAGGGAAAAAAGCTCATGCTTGTATCCTGATTCAGAACACTTAATGGACTTAATGTTCATGAAATTAAATCATCGCAATTGTGCTCCAGCAGTGAGTTATATTTACAAGCTTGTGAGAGCATGACATTTCTTACACTGTTTTCTGTTAGACATTATTAAGCCAGAATAGCTCATTATATCATGCCATTTATATAACCAGACCAGTAGCCACGCTCAATCATAAGTCACTGGCAACCGAGTCCTAGATGCCACAGCCGTGATCTCACCGACTTAGACGTGAAACACAGCTGAGGACTTGGGCAAGTTTGGGTTTGCTCCTAGACACTAAATATAGCTTTGTCACACCGGCTGTACAAAGGTGCATCTAAGCATTTAATGATAATATGTGCAGTCGTGTGCAAAAGTTTCGGCACCCCTGAGCAAATTACATACCTTGTTGATTTTTAAAGTGAAAAGAAGTAGATAAATCTGCTGCAGCAAACAGCAATGTTTAAACAAACCCTTCTTCAAATGTCAGTGCACTGTTACTTGTTATGTCATTAACTCAAAAAAAAAAAGAAATTGAAAGAAATATATTAACTGTTGAATCTCCAAAAGTTTGGGTACGCTAACTGAGATTGTACTTACTCCCCCCGACCCCGCCAACTGTGCTATGTTTTACATTTGGCTGTTGATCAGTGAGTCACTAACTGAAGTAACCCAGTGCTTATGCTGGTGTTTTGGGGGTATTACGTGTTGATGGTGTGTTGATTGTGTGTTGATGGCCTCCGCCTGACACAGTGATAAGAGCCAGCCAGCTCCTGCATGCAAGAGAAAAGCCACAATGTCAAGCCCACAGCCATACACACCAGTGGTGCAACACATGCAGCCGTATGTGTGTGTGTTTCTATAGACATGGTCGCAGTTGCTTTTTTGTGTGTGTGTGTGTGTGTGTGTGTGTGTGTGTGTGTGTGTGTGTGTGTGTGTGTGTGTGTGATGTTAGCTTTAGCACCGCTCCACTCGGCACATGTGCAGACGTACTTTCGGAAGCGTTTGGATGGGAAGTTTCACATTTGTGCGCTTGAGAGTGTGCATGGAAGTGTGGGCACAGCCATGAAGCAGAAGAGGGTTTTTTTATTTTCTGATCCTTGAAGGGAATAAAAAAAATAAAAAAAAGGAGTGGGAGGACGGCTGTGTTCTTCACGCTGTTGCTAGGGACTTGAGCTAGTTACTGTTTAGCCATTTGGTGCATTAACTCATTCACTGCATTGCTGCCAGGTCAGGGAGAGACAGACTGCCTTTACACGCATGACCTTAATTTTCTGACCTGGAAGCCGTTTGGTGGGGTGATGGGAATCGTGAATGTGCACAAGTATTTAAATGATATGAATGGATTGTGACTGTTTACATCACATAAGAAAAGACCACCTGAATGAAATCATTTAACTCAGCAGTGCCACTAGAACGTCGCTGGAACAGCAGCAGCGTGAACTTTAAGGTCAGCGGCGACGTGTAACGGTCAAACCCTTCCCCCATCTGATGATATGACGCCATCAGCATTCGCCCCCCTCTCCCCTCTAATCTGCACACCCCAGGTACTTTGTTCTCGCTCATCATTATCTCCCAAGTTGCCACTGATGCCTGTTGCCCTGGGTGACGGTTGCCCTGACAACACTGCCATCATCGCCACGGAGACAGCTGATGAAGATTGGTCATCACAGAGGTGTCACTTCCGGTTGGGGGTAGGGGGGGGGTTATTCTGATTTACTGTAAATCCAGTGACAGTTTGTAGCAGCAGACTGTGGAGGGAGGGGGAGGGGGGGGGGGGCAAGAAGGCAACAACACTGTGGAGTTTGTACGCCAAAGGTCAAGTACCAGTGTTTGAAAGGAGCTGCTAATTGTCGTAAAAACGTGCCCCAGTCATGGCAGAAACGGCCAAAAGAGACTTGACTGCAGAGCTGTAATATAAGGTGTAACTTACTCGGCTCTAAGTGGAAGTGAAAGGTGAGTTTTAACAGGCAGAATATTTAGAGGGGGAAGAAAAAATAACAAGGAGAAGTTAAGAAGTTAAACGGCTGATCTTGAGGCGTGACTGAGTCAATTCTGTGCACACAGTCCTGACAAACAGCCATTTCAGAATGAAGTTCTGGGATCCTGAAATGATGCCAGCGTCTGCCCAGCACTGCCTCGCCTTTCCTGTCGAGACGAGTGTGAAGGAGCAGAACGACACGTTTTCATCTTGTGGGGGCATCTTAAGTCCTTCTGCCGGGTGTGCCGCTGCTTTGTAAGATGTTGAGGCGAGTGGAGCATTTATATTGTATATTGCCTCTTCATTTGTTTGTCCCTTTCATTTTACAGTTGTCTTGATTCAGTACATATCGGCGTCATGTAGGGCGATGGATGATGCTTGCACAGCAGGGCAGCGCAGAGGAAAGACGATCCGTGTTCAGCTAAACCCTGGATGGGTTAAGGTTTAAAAAAAAAAAAAAAAAAATGTCACAGTTGTGATTGCAGCTCTTTTTCCTTAGGCTGTGTGCTTACTGAGTGTGTGTGTGTGTGTGTGTGTGTGTGTGTGTGTGTGTGTGTGTGTGTGTGTGACAAATTGCACGAGTGCTGATGTGCTCATGGCAGACACTTCACCCTGAGTTTCAGTACTGCCTGTTCCTTGTGTGTGTGTGTGTGTGTGTGTGTGTGTGTGTGTGTGCGTGCTCCTCTGTGTATGTGCAGACAACAACACTGGCTGCAGATTACAGTTTTCAGCTCATCCACCCACTCTATTGCTTTGGAGGATTCTTCCCTCTCTTTCCTGCCAACTCTAACAAGCACTTTCTCTTCATCCAACATTCATGTCACTCTTTCTTCCACTTTGTCCATCTCTGTCGACTTGTATGTCAAAAACGTCTCTCTTTCTTTCCCTCCCTCCCTCTTTCTCTCTTTCCCCACTTTTTCCTCTCCTTTCTCTCATCTATTCCATGTTCCTCCATCTCTCCTCCTCCTCCTCCTCCTCCTCCTCCTCCTCCAGGAACCTCAGACAACCGTCATCCATAATCCAGTGGACGGAACAAAGGTATTCATCATTCCCCATTTCTGACCTGCTCTTTATCCCTCTCTGTCACTCTCCTCCTCTTCCTCATCTCCTCCTGCCCGTTGACCCTTCTTTTCATCATGCATCTGTGTGAGCGCACCGTGGCATTGGTTTACTGATGTATATGTGCATATATGTGTGTGTGTGTGTGTGTGTGTATATGTGTGTGTCTATATATTAAACTCCTGAGATAAATGCCTTTATATTATGAAGGGAGGTGCGATGATGGATGGGGTAGTGAATGTTGCTCACCAGTTTAAACCAGTGCCCCATTGAGAGAACTTGTGACTTACAATGTGATTTAGATCAAAAATAATGTTTTTTATTTATTATTTTGTTGTTTAATTATTGTCTGATTTGTTCTTTGGTGGTTTGTTAAATCTGGTTGCTATGGTTAGTGTGAAAGTGTGTGTATGTGTGTGTGTGGAGGATGTGCATAACTTTGCATTATGATTCCTTCCTCATTAGTATGACCAAGCATTTGGTGTGTGTGTGTGTTTGCATGTGTGCGTGCGTGCGTGTGTGTGTGTGTTCCAAAGTCCAGGTTGTGCATCACAGCAGAGTGACCTTTGCATTACATTTTGGGTCTCCCCTCCGAGTGAAGTGCATGGCTTTGAATTGCTCCCAACAGCAGCTGGAAAAGTGCGTCTACATGTGGAGACACTGACAGTATTTTGGGAGGATACTGCTTCAGTACGGTTCATGTTTTCACACCAGGCTGGTTTAAAGCAGCCTACTTGACCTACTTGACTTTATTTGTACAAGTAAATCTTAACAAATGCCATCGGTCCACGAACAGAGGCCAAAACTAGAGTCAAAATTAAATAAGAGAACTGCCTTAATATACGGGCTGAGACGTGACTGTAGTATAAACACCCGAGAGGGTGAATTACAGCAAAGTGCACAAACGAGCGTATCATAATTATGTGGCTGTAACATTTTACAAGCCCTCTCCCGCCTGTAATGTGGCAGGATGCGAGAAAATGAACGAGATGTAAAATGTCATAGAAAAAACTTCTCTATGATTCAGCCCAAAGAAAACAAACTGTAGGTGGAATCGCACTTTTTAAATGATATTTGTGTTGTTTCAGGATGCTCTCCTTCACACTTACATGTACTGTACACACACACACACACACACACACACACACACACACACACACACACACACTTTTTTTCTTCTTTCTTCCTCTCCTCAGGTCACCAGCTGCCCTTTAAAAGGCTATGAAACCACTTCTGTGCTTCTGCTCGTGACGCTGCTCGTGCTCGTGTGCGCTTCTAATGAGGTCGCCGCGTCTCTCGATTCCCCTCGACGTGCGGCGGAATTTAGCCCCATTTAATCTGCTAATTGGAAATCAGAGGCGAACTTCTCCTCTGGCGAAAGCCTGCGAAGAGACAGACAGACAGACAGACAGACAGACAGACAGACAGACAGACAGACAGACAGACAGACAGACAGACAGACAGACAGACAGACAGACAGACAGACAGACAGACAGACAGACAGACAGACAGACAGACAGACAGACAGACAGACAGACAGACAGACAGACAGACAGACAGACAGACAGACAGACAGACAGACAGACAGACAGACAGACAGACAGACAGACAGACAGACAGGCAGGCAGGCAGGCAGGCAGGCAGGCAGGCAGGCAGGCAGGCAGGCAGAGAGACAGACCGGTAGACGGATAGATTGCACCTCCTTAAGATGACAACTCGCTGCTCTGTGAGAATCCATTCTGTTGCTATTGTTGAAGTAGATTGATGACACACATCCCGTCGAGTTTTCTGTCAAGTTGAGCAAGAGACGAGAGCACCCCTGTGGAGGAAAGACGTCATTTGTCCACATGATGTGATACACACACACACACACACACACACACACACACTGGAAGCACAGGGAGCTTTGCCTGGAGTAGAAGAAAAGAGGTTTGAGGCCAAGGATAAACCAGGTTGATAAGGTGGCGTATTGGTGACCCGTGCTGATGGGTTAGGTGGCATGGTTTGACTTTATATTTTTACGAATCCTGGATGATTTTAACTCACTAACTTTGTCCTCGTTTGGCATCTGCTTTTGGATCAAATCCACATTAACTGCTCTTGATGCATTCTGGTTCCCGCAGTTTTAGTTTTGTGGAGACATGACGTGGCATCATAGGAATACACCCCCACCCCCACCCCGCTGGCCTGCGTTCTGACAGTGTAAACCGAGCGTCTTTCCTGTGACGTGCGTCCTCATGTGTGTGTATTGTGTCATGTTCCAACCCAAACTGAACTGACCTGTCTCTCTCTGATCTCCAGGAGTCGTCGGACAGCAGCAACACCACTGTGGAGGATGAAGATGTGAAAGGTAAGACTGGGCAGATTTTAACTATAACTGGAGATCACCACGAGGCTCCATGATCTTAAATATCACATGAGGCAGTCAGCTTTGTAAAGGTGGATGGTGACGAGCTCTGCTCACTGAAAGCTGCTCTCTGTAACGGACATAAATGTTGCACCTTAAACGAGTGTGTCTCTGTGTAACTGGCCACTGCTGCTCTCACTTTTAAAAGCTTAGAAAGTATCAGTTAAACATTCAGACAAAAAGTCCCTAAAGAGGTTGTTGAAACCCGACAACCTGTTAGAGGAGTCTTAAATGTTTTATCTCCTGTGCACATTCGTGTTTCTCGACCGTTTTGAAAGATTACAGGTGTAACGTGGCTTAATGACATCATTTTTTAAACTTCAGTGAGTGTGTAAACACCCAAGAAAATAGTTGTTTTTTTTTTTAAATTAAAAAGCAGCACATGTTAAATGAATAGGGAATGTTATTTTCAAAATAAGAGTCACACATACGCTTCCTGTGTGGTACAGATTGTGTGAATGTGATTCTAATTTAGTCACCAGGCAGTCAGGCCGCTGATAGCTGACCTCCTACTGACCCCTCATGGAGCCGGGCTGTATTGCTTCCCTCTGCTGTTTTTCTTTTGTTTTTTTTCCCTCTCTGAAGAGATGTTTGTGTGTTTCCGTGTGTGTCTGTGTCTGAGAGGTGAGAGGTGGGGGGCTGTGAAATGTAAACGGCCTTGTAATGCTGTTGTGGTTTGGCTTTCTCAAAAGTGTTAGGGTTGGGCTGAAATCTTAGTACTGAGAAACACACACCTCTGAAATACCAACACGCCTGTGCAGGGTGTCAGCCTGCAGAGTTTGTGAGATAAGGGTCTGTGCGGGGCATAGCACATATATCAGCAAGTAACTTCACAAACTGCTTTTATATGCGGCCTTTTTTTTTGTTGTTGTTGTAGCCACTGTGTGATTGTGTGTGATTGTGTGTGTTTGTGTGTGTTTGTGTGCGCAGATGCATGGGTTCTGGATCTGCTTATCTATGCCAGCACACTCAAACACCCCTGTTCTCCACATCCGAGCTGAGTACAATGCGTCTAAATCGGGTCATGAGTGTATCATTTCGGCGCCAAGCATACAGAACACAGTGTGCGCTTCCATCTTCTCCTCCTCCTCCTCCTCCTCCTCCTCCCTATAGAGGCTTTGCTGCTGTGTCACAAATTCCCTAGCAACCGCAGCAGAGCCGTCATGTAGATCTGTAAGAAAATGCTAGAAAGAGTACTACACGTATCAAGTAGTACTCGGGGGGAACTGCTCTTATTTTGCTGGTAAGTTCTAGTTTGAAAACTTTCAGAGTAAAAGTAGCTGAGAATCTCAAACCTAAAATTGACTAGAACATAAAGTGCACTCAGATAAATAGATTTATCTTCTCATGTCCTGTTTTTCACATGATGATTTTAGCTGTAAACAACTTCAGTAAACAGTCTTCCTACTCACAGTATCACAGATACATTTATTCCATCACCTTCATCTTTGGCATCAGGCGTTCTCATGTTATAGCTAGACATGACAAGAAAGAGATCCCTTGAAGAAAAGTGTCAGACCTTTGACCTTTGGCTTCATTAGGTAGCTAATAAAGTATTCGAACAGTTTCAGTGTCTCACTCAATAATTTACAGGTAGAGGACGTTGATCTCTCTAGAGTTATTTGTTGTTATTTGAAAGTTTCGTATAACTTCAGGTGCGATTTCAGTAAAATAGTTTGTTTGTTTTTTTTCACTTCTTCAAATGACATGGAGACGTTCCTACAGAGAAAATATGGTGAAATTTATCAAAAGAAAAATTGGTGACATTTCCATAATTATAGTGAGTAATATAACTTCATACAACAAAATAATTGAAAATGTCAAATAGGAAGAAAAACTACTCACTTCATAACAGTAAGTATAACAGATATGTAAGATTAACTTTACAGCAACAGTCGTAGCTGTCAGGAAAATTAAGAATTTACTTAATTAGTTTAAATAAGTATAACTTACAACTTAAATATAATTAAGTAACATTAACTTAATATCTTCATGAATGTTAAATTTAGTGGTAAGTACATTTTACTTGATACTATCAAGTCAGTTGTGCTTGATATTGCAGCAGTAAAATTTGTGCTAGTGCAAATACTTAAAATCCTACAGGTTATTTTTTCAGTGTATGGACTAACATGACAATCAGGCAGCGTTATTGTAAAGTCATTTATTACAGTAGATATAGTGGTTGCAACTGATGTCCATGTATTTGTAGCTATGTCATAAAAACTGTCTGTAAATATCTGATTTATGAAAGTTCACCCTGCTGCTCGTTTAAAATTCATTATTTAGATTTCCCTTGATGTAGGAAAGGTAGCGTTACATCACCTGAAAATCCTTTAGACCCCCGGGCTCTACTGTACCACACTGTACTGCCCCTGTACACACAGTGAAAAGTATCCTCCCCCTCTACCCATATCCTTCCCTTCCAAGGTCCCAAATCAGAGCCAAGGTCCCAAATTGGAGCCCCACCACCCCACCCCTCTGGCAGGAATGGAGAGGGCAAGGGCACCTTGGGGGGAGGGGGGAGGGGGGCTAAAAGGGGGTGGTGGAATCTAAATTTAACCCCGGTGGCAGGAGACGGAGCACCCAGAGAGGCATTGAAGACACGCCGCTCTGCTAGCGCCACCCTTGGATAGCATTAGTCTCACACAGCAGGTTTAAGACTCTTTAAGATACGAAGCGGGGGGGGATAGCACGTTCAGCGCCACAGAGAACTACAAGAGCCAGGTGAGTGCAAGAGGCGAGGGGGGGGGGGGGGACTCATGTTGGTTGGAACAGTTTTTGTAGTGTTGGCCTTTGTAGGTTCCTGTCAGGTCAGCGGGTGCTCGACAGCTGGTTTGTAACCCAACACCTGCGCCGGCTTTTGGAGCATCTGAACACATATCTGTTGTGTTACTCTCAACGCTTTTATAGTAGAGAATATGTTGCAGACAGTTTTCTGAGCGCTGCTTGTTGTGACTCATTAATCTAATCTGTGGAGGTGATCATTTTTTTCATGTCAAGTTATAATTTATAGGTTTACTTCCTGTTAAACTGCTGAAGTTTCTCCTCTTTGCGACATCCGGAGAATTAAATGCTAATTGCTGAGATGTTCCCGCACTGCACTTCCGAGGGATCACGTGTCAGTCAACCAGTGTGAGCCGTGCTGTGACGTCTTTGTATGTTTGCTTTGTGTAGCTGCCATTTTTCTTCCCTCCTATATCTGCATTTATTGACAAAAATGTTCATTATTGTTTACATGTTGGAGAGCGCAGTCATACCTCTATTAATGCGGCATCTTGGCAGGAAACTCTCCTTTTTATTTATTTATTTATTTATTTTTATTGCCAGTCTCCTGCCATCTGTTTTGTTTTGTTTTTTCCTGCAGGGACATTTTCTTTCCCTCTGTTTGTCAGTGAGTGTTCATGAGTTGCGTTTCCCTCTGTGCCAGCTGATAAAACAGACGAGCGGTAGTGAGTAACATCCAACTCTCTCTCATTATCACGGCCATCACCGTTGTCATCATCCATCCTCCGCTCACTGGAAAACTCCCATTAAAGTCTCTGTGAAGCCTCGCACGCGCCAGCAGCCGCCGCTGTAAATCCAGCTGAAATGGAGCCATTAACTGGCATAATGAGGGAAATGCTTTCTTTCTTTTTCAATAAGATCTGGAGACAGAGGACTGTCGGTGAAAAGTAGCTGTAATTTCTCCGAGCCAGAAAAGACAAAGGTTGACCGGGTTTAATGTCTTGTATTTATCTGCCCCCACCATCACACTCACGCTCGATCGTTCTTCACTGTGACATTTCTGTTGTGTTTTTGTGCGACTGGTTGACATCTCTCTTTGCATACGTGTGTGTGTGTGTGTGTGTGTGTGTGTGTGTGTGTGTGTGTGTGTGTGTGTGTGTGTGTGTGTGTGTGTGTGTGTGTGCATGTTATCAGGGAAGAGCTTAGACAACAGCTCGCTTAAGGCGCAGTCCAGCACAAGCTCCCAGCCTGATAGCTCTCAGGGCTCCACAGCCACTGTGTTCTGTAAGTCAGCATGGCCCCGCAAAATGCAGCCTGTAACACACACACACACACACACACACACACACACACACACACACACACAATCATACGCTCCACTTGCAGTTCACCTGGACTAAATCCTCCCTTGTGTGTCTTCCGCATGTATTAGAAACATACATTTACCATCAGGAAATCCCTCTGGTGCCCTGACGTAGACTGAGTTTTAATCAGCACCTGCTGTGCCTCTGACTGTCAGACACTAAAACATCTAATAACATGAATAGTAGAGAAAAACACTGAGATGTTTTGTAGTATTTCTACTCCTCTACTATCCCATCCTCCCTCCCTTTCCGCCCACGCCACGTGTGTTTAGAATAATGTGTTGTCTCCCTCTTATGGACATATGTGGAATAACAAGACAAGCTGCCCACTGACACATTTTATTTCTAAGCATGAGTTTCCCTCTGTGTTTATGTTCTCATTCCTGTCTCTGTCTGAGTCAGACTTTGTCCTGGAGAGCTCTAATGACAGATGTCACAGTAAATGAGACTGTACTTCTGTTTATGTTTGATAAATCTCACCTTTTGTCGCATTTGCATGGGTCTCCTTCTTGCCTCAGTGCTCTCCAAGACAAAGTTAGTTCATCTGATCCTTCTGTCTAAGTGCACTGTCTCCCATGTTCCTCCCTCCGAAACTCAGCCGCTGCAAAGTTTGCTGACCTGCTGGGCTCAGTGCGTAGAGGCTCAGGGCCCACATCCGACGGGGAAGGGAGATCAAGCACACCACCTCCCGCTGCCCTCTCCGCCCCCTCCCCTCCACACACCCCTGCTGTCCCCATGCAGAGTAAGTAGAGGAGCGCGGCAGCAGGGAGTATACAGTAGATGACCGCCGGCCATTAGACTCTACAGAGAGCACTTCTTATTTCTAATGATCATTATTATCTCTGCATCTTTAAAAATCCCTTCAAGATTTTAGTTTTTCAGATTTGTGGTCCAAACTTCTCGAGTCAAGAGAAGAATAGTTGTGACACTGAAAACAACCTGCTACTGCAGAATCAAGAATCAAAATATGTTGCTATGACAAAAAAAACAACTTATGGCTGAAATTGTTATTGGACCTGATAGTTTTATTATATAGATTTGATTATATATTATTATTATATAAATATATTATTGATATTTATAGTTTATTTTCAGTCAGTCCCACATACACACCAAATGTGTATTAATCCACTCCTGAAAATAGTCCCAAATAAATACAGTATTTAGGCTTCTCCTGTTTCAGCAATGTTAAGAACTACAGTGGCATGCTGAGTTAAGCAATTACTAAGTCTATTTTAAAGATGAAACTAAAGCCTATACTTACTTTTGATACACGTGGATTTACATCCACATTGTGAAAGTCTGGGCCACAGGCGGGTTAGGAAAGTCGCCAAGTGCTGAAAGATAAATTAAAACTAACACCGTCCTTGTCCTTTAAATTACAGTTTTTATAAAAATAAACCTTCAAATATTTAATCAGACTAAATATAATGAGTCAAACTGAATACGTTTATAATTCTGTGATCCTGGTTGTAACAGCACAGTTTCATTTAAATTATATTTGACGAAGACGTGGAAGTTTTGTAATAACCGCATGCAAATGAAAGGCTCAGGATTAATAAGAGGTGTATGACTTCAGGTGTAATGAAAAGCCGAGTGTGCTAAACTTCTTCCAGACCTCTCATATGAAACCATCACTGCTTGTGCGCTGAATCTTCCTCAGGCTCCTTCTGTAATGCTTCTCTATGATAATGATATATTGTCACAATCGATTACATTTGCAGTTATTGCCACCATAAATCTAGGGATTTCTTCATTTCTTTATTCTCTTTTATGTTTCCTGCTCACTGTTTCTAATTTGTTCTTGCATTCCTCCATCTCCACCATCCACCCATCCATCCACCCATCCATCCACCCATCCATCCTGTCTGGACGACAATCAGTGTCCCGGCTCACAGACCTGGTAAGCAGCGTTCGCAGGGCGCCGGCAGCCCCTGCACCTGAGAGTGATGCTGCACCGGCTCCAGTGCCTAGCGCCAGGCCCGCCCCTCCACCTGCACACACTACTTCCCCACCTCCCCCTCACTCCCCCTCGAGCCTCTCCCTGTCTTCCTCCCAGAGTGAGTACCGAGCATGACCCACTCCGACCCTATGCACAGCAGCCAATCAGGGGCTCAGTCGAATGACCTTTCAGGATTTCAGTGCAGGCCTGTGTGTGAGAAGCGCATTTAACAGTCCGTGTTCTGCTGTGAGTAAACAGCGGTTCATTGAGAAAAGTCTGTTGTGTTAAACTACTCCTTTTGTCAGCTCTGTTGGGAACTGAACAGTCTGGGGGCGTGTGTGTGTTTAGTGCCTCCTCTGTGCTGCGCCGCAGAGCGCACCGCTGACCGCGGAGGGATTCATGCGTCGTTTGGCTGCTTTTGACCAGTTGTGATGTTTAAATACCTGGGTTGACATTGTTTGCAGTGATATCGGCAGATACCTTGTGTGTGCTCATATTACAGTGTGTTTGACACTTGTTCAGGATCACGTGATGAGCAAGGCCTCTATTACATGTGTGTATTTGTTTGAGGCGTAGAAGAAAAGCTCTTTAACAAGTATTAATGTTTTTCTGCATGTGTTCCTCGCTTTAATCCAAATACTTACTGCCGTAAAGCCTATTTCTCCAGCTCATTATACAAACGATAAGTCGAGTTGGGATATTTCTTATATCACTTCTTCACCAGTTACAGTATTCTCAGTCTTCACTGCCTTCACCTGAGCATCTGTGTTGCTGCGTTGATGAATTAAAACGATTTAAAAACGAACTCCTCTCCATCTGTCGCTTGCCTCTGATTGACTTGTGTTCCCACTGTCCTCTGCAGCACGCAAACAAGAAATCATCAAGATCACCGAGCAGCTGATCGAGGCGATCAACAATGGAGACTTTGAGGCATACGCGTGAGTCTGCATTTTTGGTGTCCGGCTTGTTTTTGTTTTTTTGGGCTTGTGTTCAAGTCAGCACAGTTTGAAGTTCATGTTTAGCTTGTTTAACATGAGCCTGGTCGTTCCTCCTCAGTAAGATCTGCGACCCCGGACTGACCTCGTTTGAGCCGGAGGCGCTGGGCAACCTGGTGGAGGGGATGGATTTCCACAGATTTTACTTTGAGAACCGTAAGTTTTCACTTCTGGTGTCAGACTGTTGCACTCTTTGCCTGTAAATAATGAGATATTTTATGCGTCCGTGCCGGAGACATCCAGAGGCAGAGGCGTATTGTTTTGCGGGTTGTCCGTCCGTACGTCTCATTCTCGTGGACACCGACACCTCACTAAGACCTCGACGGAACTTCTTCAAATTTGGCGCAAAAGTTCACTTGGACTCGAGGACAAACTGATTAGATTTTGGTGGCCAAAGGTCGAAGTTCAAGGTCACGGTGACCTCAGGAAATTATTTTTAGCTATTACTCAAGGCTTCACACAGCAATTACGACAAAATTTCACACATATGGTTCATATTTTATATGACTGAATAAACAGGGGTGTAACCTGAAGCTAGTCTGCGTGGCGGAGGCAGACAACCACGAGGCAGCAATGAAAAATGAAAAAAAAAATGTCCTGATCTCATTTATTATTGTTTTATCTTGTTGATCTTTCAGTTTTAGTGAAAACATACTCATCTAAATAACAGGGGCTCAAAAAGAGAAAAGCTTTTCTCTCATTTAACTGCTGTACACGCAGGAAACATCACATGAAAAACTCAAGTAGAGAAATTTAACTACTGCTCAGAAAGCTAATGGGGGAAGATAATCCACAGCAGCTCCCACACCCACTAAGACTGAGATGATTAGTGTCACGCACAGTGTAACCAGTGGACACTACACCAGAGCGTTCAAGCCCTTGAGACAGAGACGCTGCGGGCCCTCGTTTTATTTGTGATAACTCCGGGGGTTGTGTTGTAGTCTGGACGGTGCAAACAGAGACTTTTGGAAACAATGACATCACGTTCGCCTCCTGATCCAGTCTTATTGGTCACTACGTATCCTTCGATAATTTGTCACGCTCTTATCACGTGAAGAAAACAATTTAACTAATCTTTGCTCCTCATTATAGCGCATGCTTTAATTAACGTGGACTATATTGAAATTAGTAATAGTATTATATTAAGTATATTACTCTTCTCCTGACATTGTTGTCAACATCTTTCCAGTTTTGGCTAAGAACAGCAAACCCATTCACACCACCATCCTGAACCCCCACGTCCACCTGATCGGCGAGGACGCCGCCTGCATCGCTTACATCCGCCTGACCCAGTTTGTTGACGGCCAGGGTCGGCCGCGGTCCAGCCAGTCGGAGGAAACTCGCGTCTGGCATCGCAGAGACAGCAAGTGGCAGAACATCCACTTCCACTGCTCAGGCGCACCAGCTGCGCCGCTCCAGTGAGGTACAGACCACAGCACTGGGACGACTGGCAGAAAACAGACAACAGCCGGCGTTCCCCTCAGATCATGTTTATATATTGTATTTGGCTGTTTTTTCAAACTGCAACTTCGGAGAGGAGCGGCAGCTGTTGAGCTTTATCTGTGTTAATGAATACAGCAAAGATGACGAGGAAAGTATAGAGCAGTTGGTTCTTTCACTACCTGGGTTTCCATCGCAGTTTTGCACAAAATAGAAGCAATTTCTTCAGGAAAGTTGACAAAAGACAATTGTGAATGGTCTGTGTTTCCATTGAGTGAGGTTATGCGAATAAAGCATAATAATAATAATAATAATAAGGTTTTCTCCTCTCATGATATTGTTCCACTTAAACGTGATGATGGGTTTCCAGCCTCATGGTTGGAACTGGCTCCTGGGGCCTGATGCGGCAGCCGCCTTGTTTTTTTTTAGTCTGAAAAACCACCTCATGCGAGCATATACTTTTTTTTTTGTAACATTTGATATTTTTTTTCTAAATCCACCTGTTTCCATTACTTGTTTTTAACTTCGTTATTTCAAATTGTATATTAAGAAGGTTTACGCAGGAAGTCGGCAAAAGAAAACCAGTGTGTGTTTCCATGAGCCTTTGGTTTGAGAATAGTCTGAGGGGCTCCCACGCAGTAAATCATTCACATTACTTCCATGAAAAGTACTTTGCAGACTTGAAATCTCAACAGAAAATGTGTTCCAAAAAATGAAAAAACCACTCCTGCATAAACACCAGAAACCAGGGGGACAAAATCTTCCCCCAAAATGTTGAACTTTGTTAAATTTTAAAGTGTGGGCTGCAAACTTTCATGGTCATATATTCAACTTATGTGACACTGTTCTGTTTTCGCTCTCAGGTTGAACGCCATAGCTTTGTCTGTGAGGAGTGCTCTGCTGGAAAGAGAGGAGGAGGAGGAGGAGGAGGAGGAGGAGGGATGAAAGAACAAGTCCAGTGTTGGTTTGGGGACAGGGCTCCTCGCCCTTCAACAGCAAACCCTCCCTCAATGGACGCCCGGCCTCAACCCCCAGCATGCATCTCTTCTTTTAGTACTACTGCCCCCTGTCTGTCACCTGCCCTGCAACACCTTCTGACAAACATCAGACAACACCAACTGAACTTCCCCCAGCCAGTCCAACCCACTCCCTCACCCCAGCTTTCTCTTCCTTCCCTCCGGCAACTGGGTGAATTGGTTGGGGGTGGGGGTTTGGGTTGGAGGGTGGGGGTGGGGGTGGGGGTGTTTTCAGCACTCGTGTGATTCGGTCTTCCTGTGGTCTCTTCCCCATCCCCACTATTTTTGTGACACCCACCCTCTTGTCCTCCTGTGAATCCACACTCGTGTGACATAAACACTGCACTGGAAATACAGTATGTAAAGTTTTAAGTAAAATCTATTATTATCATTATTATCATTATTATTATTATTATTATTATTATTATTGATAAACATTTGCAATTGTATATGTAATTTGTATAATTCAAAATTCTTGATGCCAGTGGTTTCTAGAGTTAAAGGAATTTTTTTTGTTTTGTTTTTCTCTATCTTTTTAAGGAAGCATGTTTTTCCCCCCATATTAACAGTGGCTGTTTTTTATTGTGGCTATTAAGTGGAAAATGATATTGGCAGTTTTTGTAATTTGCTTCTTGTATGTTAGCTATAATACTTCGCCCAAACTCATGGTCAACTTGTTTTGTTTGTTTGTTTTTGGGTTTTGGTTTTTTTGTTTTGTTTTCTTTGGAAGGGGTGTGCCTGATGGGTGTCGTGTGACGGTGGAGAGCGAGTCCTTGTATGCGTGTGACTGTGGTTATGTAAGGCAGACACATAGCGTGTGCTAGTGCAAACAATAATGACTGACTGTGCAGTTGGAGGAACCTCTTTGTTTTTCCCTCGTTGCAATGTGAACGGCCGGAGAAGGGGTTGGCTAAGCTCAGCGTCTTCCTGCACCAAAACCTGAATCTATCAAACGTCCAAAACTAACAGCATGCAATAAGAGTTTTATCGTGATTTTACTTTTCCATCTCCATGTAAAACGCTGTAATGACCCTGAACAGTGACGTCTAAACAATGAAGCATCGTCGTGAAGATGCACAAGAAGAAGAAAAACATATTGCTGTCTGTTAGCAGCACTGCTCCCTTCTTTATTTTGTATTGCTGCCACTTGGATTAAAAAAAAAACTTTCTCATTATAAGGAGAAACATTTTCTTGATATAACAGGATACTTAATGTTGTGACATTTTTAGTGAGACAAAATATCATTATGACAAAATAACTTGGTGTGTTGTTCTAAAAATAAATTATTTGTATGTTCCATGTTGAAAAGATCCAAAGAGGAAATCTTCCAGCCAGTGACTTAAGGTTGTAATTTTAATTTAATTTTTTTGCAGTGAGTTATTTTGAGCCAGATTGTTAGGGTAAAGAAAAGTAGGTTTACAATAACAATTCTTTTTTATTATTTATCTGACAGTTATTTTTACAAAACCCCAAAATATTAAGACCAAGAAAAGCAATAAATTCTTACATGAGAGCCTTGAAAAAAGTCAGCCTGATAGAGGTAGCATCAGTTCTTTTAACTGAGGTGAAGTTTCTGTTTTAAAGTAAACTTTGGGTTATTTTTAGTCCTGGACTTGGTTGATCTTTGACCGCAGAAACCTCAACAGGTCGAACTGGACACTAAATATAATAATAATATTGTTTTGTTTTACAACAAAACTATTTTGAAGAAAGTAAAAGACTTCCTGTTGTTAAAATACTCAAATTACTTCTGAACTGAGGGAAATCAACTGATTATAAGTTTGAAAATGTGTAACACTTGATTTGTGATTAGTGACTTAATTCATCGAGATTTTCTATATGTATGTATTTTCCTACTAAAAGTCCATGAAACTGTTCAGTGCTGAGTAAAACTCATGAACAGATAAAAGACCAAAAAATAAATAAATCAAAAAACATCTTTTTGTTACAATTAAATTATTTGGTATGTCATGATGATGGGAAACGTGTCACACAATACTGCAACATCAAAGTATCTTGTTATAATTTCGACATTTCTGGGGGCATACATCCTAAACCTCGCTGACCTCTGACCCCAGAACTCTCAGTCGGCAGTAGTTCAGCCTGTTCAGCCTGTTCCACTGTTTTTTTTTCCAGCCTGTGGTGCTAAAAAGTTGCTGAAAAGTTGCTCGGGGAAGGAGGGGATGCACTGTTGGTGGCTCCTGCTGTTGCTAGGCGACAGCTGAACACCCGCTCTGTGCTCTTTTCCTAAAAGTTGTGATATTTTTAACTCGCTTAAAATCTCAATGCTGTCTGGAACACAACAGCAGGACTTTTTTTTTTTTTTTTTTTTTTTTTTTATTCAGTCAAAATGTCAAGCAAAAGAAGTCAGCGCTCTGAAGGAAGGATCCCGCTGGATGCGTGACCTTTCTCTCTTCCAAAGCCACGGTGCAGAAGGCGGGTGCTCCTGCCTGTTTGTCCCTGTGAAGCACACACACTGAGGCCCATATCAGTGATGAAGAATGAAGGATGTGTGTGTGTGTGTGTGTGTGTGTGTGTGTGTGTGTGTGTGTGTGTGTTGTGTTGTTGTGTGTGTGTGGTGTGGTGGTGTGTGTGTTCTGCAAGCATGTACGGTACATCCATTGCTCTCGGTGTGTATTCTTTTAAAGCCTGGGGGGGGGGTAAATTATTCTTGGAGGTGGTGTTGTTGTATAAGAGACGATGGAAGGAGGAGGCTTTATTTCGGAGGACATATGAGTCCCCTGCCTTCAACCCAGGACTCTTTCTTATGATTTGATCTGTTTTTGTTTTGTTTTTGTTCTTTTCATGTTTTACAGAATGTTTTTCATGTTTTTACTCTCGTGCTCTTTGATTTGTGTTACAGTAAAGTGTTATCAGCTATTCATATAAATATATATATATATATATATATATATATGAAGTGCTCGTGCCAGCGGTGGCAGGATTGAACAGATGGATTTTGCAGCACTGAAGACTGATTTTTGTCGGGGTTTGACGCGCGATCAGCTCCACTGTACTTTGCTTGTCCACCATTGGCTGCCTTCACATTTGTCTCGCCCCTATTGGTCAGACCAAGATATTAGGAGACCGGGCAGTCGGTTTGGTGAATAGTCCTCAGGTTTCTATTTATTTTGAATATTTATTTATTTATTTTAGTGGATATTTTTATTGTGCTTTTTTCTTTTCCTTTTTTTTTTTTGTTTTGTTTTGTTTTGTTTTTCCTATTGTACATCTCATGCACTTGTGCAAGTACTGTCTGTTGTTCAAGGGACACTGCTCCATGTAAAACATGACTGTTTTTTAAAGGGATAGTACACCCAAGTTGCATCCTGCATGTGTTTTTCTGTAACGACCAACATGGTGTGAATTACTTTTTCTTTTTCTGCAGCTTTTCTTCTGCAGCTTCAGATTGGCGCTAGCTTTGACATTATTCTTGTAGTTCTATGGTGTCCTTTTTTTCTTCCACTTAAGTCACATTATCACCTTGCCAGAGTGGAACGTCTATTACTTTAAATCTCATATAGCACAGGATTATATTTTGTGTGAACTATCCCTCCAAAAGCTTCAGCGTCTTTTTTTAAGACGATAAAGCTTTTTTTTTTTTTTTCTTCTTCAAATGAAGGTTTTTTTCAAGGTGAACTGCAGAGTCGTCGTATTGTACTCATGTCACAGTAACAATGTTAATGTGTAGTTGACTCTGATGTACTAGTAAAAGGTCAAAGGTTACCTGAAGGCGTTCATGCGTGATCGTGCTAACCAGACATGACCCCCACCCCCTCCAGAAAAAGAAGAAATAGCAGCATGTACAGTACAAAGGTGTTGTTCTTCTGTTCTCCTTAGTGTGTTTACAAGCCTTGAAAACCAGTATAATAAGATTCACATATTTAAAATGAGGGAGTACACAGTGTTACACAACTGCAGCTAACTAGCAGAGTAGCTGGCGTTTTCTTTGCATGACAGTCAACAGGACACTTGTTCTTTGGTGTTTTCCTTTTTATTTAGTTTCTCATTTTCTACTGAATGCTGGTAAACTCCACCTTTCTCTATTTTCTCAGCTTTTTAAGTGCATATAACTATTTTTGTCTCCAGATGATATAATGAAGATGATTATGATGATCAGGATGATTATATTAATGACTGTGGCACTTAGGGTGACTTTGAGGATGTTGACCGGTGATGATGATGATGATGATGTGGTGAAGATTATTGTGCATGCTTTTCTATGGGGCTCTGTGTTGTCAGTGCAGAATGGCTGCCTTTTGTACAGAGCTGAGAGAAACACATGAGAGCAGCACATGTTGACCATCAGCACCAAGAGTGACCGCTGCTTCACTGAGCCTGCATGTCACTAGAGGAACGGCACTGGAGTCCCACTGACAGGTTAGAAGCAGCTCAGAGAGTGAATGAGCTCCAGCAGGGGGCGCAGTCACACAGAGTAAAGACCAAACACACACAGATGGAGGGAGGATTGATGCTTCTAATGCAGCTGCACAATAAGTTCACTTTAGTGTCAAATCTAACAGACCGTCCAGTCAGAGACAACAGCAGTTTATCACTGTAGAATAAGAACCAGCTTCATGATGATTATTGATCAGGGCTGCACAGTTATGACTCCAATGGTTCCAATATCACTGATGGATCATGATTGTGTGTGAAGCATCGAAGCTAAAATCATGACTGAACATGATTAATTGTGCAGCTCTACATATAAACTACAATAAGTGTCCTCCTCCAGTCTGTTGAGGTCAGTGCGAGCTCTGCCGGCTTCCTGTCGGCTGCAGTATTTAGTCAGATGAAGCATCACTGAGATAAACTGGAGATAAACACTGAATATAAAGAAAAGTAAAAACGCAAGGAAGGAGATTCAGATGGATGAAACAAATGAAACAGAACTGTAAT